GAGATGGTATCTCATTGTGGTTTTAATTTGCATTTCTCTAATGGCTAGTGATCGCGAGCATCTCCTCATGTGTCAAAATTTTAAATTTTAACCAACACATTTATTAAGTGTCTTTTTTGGGCTGTCACTTTCATATACATGGTTTCACTTCATCCTCACAACAACAATAATATAGAGAAGCAGCAAAATGAAGTGACTTGCTTGTAGTAATTTAGCAAATAATCCTACTAGTATTCAAATTCAGATATTTTTACTTCCAGGTTGGGAATACAGGTAATTGCAGGTGTCTTGCAAAGTGAGAAGTAGGTAGAATGTAGTAGTGGCTGACATCTAAGTATCACCCTTGCTCCATGTCTGTCTTTTTCTCTCATATTAGTGATTTTGAGAAGGCTTGAGCTCCAGGTACATACACATGGGCACTCACATGTTTCTTGAACTGACACGGTATGAGTTTGCCTGTCATGGCAAAGAGTAATACTGCAGTCTCCTACTTAACTCCGTCCTTAGTGAAATAAAGTATCCCATCTCCTGATCGTGGCTAAAGGTACACTGAAAAAAATATTCGTAAGTATGGTAGATGCCAGAGCAGGTAGAATTCTTGACTTAAGCAACTATTTTTCTCCAAATGCCTCATTAGTTTATGAGTGAAATAGTATCACAAGGCCAGAAACGTGCTTCATATTGAATGTGTATCAGGGTTTCAGACATGAATACCATGCCTGTCTGTGCCTTTGAGCATTGGTCTCTGCATCTCCAGACCCTGAGGCAGGGTTTCTTAGACATGTGATCCTTCTGTATCTGACTCCAGCATGTGGTTGTTGTTAGGTGCTGTCCAATTGATGCCTATAGGACAGAATAGAACTGCCCCAAAGGGTTTTGTAGGCTGTAAATCTTTGTGGAAACAGATCACCAAGTCTTTTCTCCGGTGGAGCTGCCAGTGGGTTCAAATTGCCAACCTTTCAGTTAGCAACCAAGCACTTAACCATTGTGCCACTGGGGCTCCTTGACTCCACCATTTAAAAAAACAAAAAAAACTATTGCCATTGAGTCAATTCCAACTCATAGTGACCCTATAGGGCTGAGTAGAACTGCCCCCATAGGGTTTCCAAGGAGCAGCTAGTGGATTTGAACTGCTGGCCTTTTGGTTCACAGCCAAGCTCTTAACCACTGGACCACCAGGGCTCCTGACTCCACCATAGGGGGCTTAAATGGATGGTTCCCAGTAACCAGGTGAATATTAAAATTTTCCAGACTATGAATAATAATCAGACCCAGAATATATCTGTGATTTTTTGTCTGGCATTCGATATGTACTATAATGGGAGGACATTCATAAACTGAGTTTAAGCTGTCTTCATTCGATTGACTTTATTAGTCTTTATGTATTTAGTTAATGAGATTTTCATTCTCTTTGTGTTTGTAAATATTAAAAACTAGGAACTTTCCAAAAATCAGATTGCATAGGCAGATTTTCTTTTGGCTAGCTTTTTAAAAACATATGCTTTAGTAGCCAGGAAGTAGCTATATAGAAGTCCATTTACTTTTTCCTGATTCAGATCCACATCACACACACATATACACATTTATCGTCTCAGATGTAGACTACTTAAAAGCAAAAGATTTCAGCCAAGTAACAAAGGATAATTATGACACTGACCATATTTGAAATAGCTTCTGTAAGTTTATTAATCTGTTTGTGTTGTCTTCAAATAGAAATGTTTAATATAGGATATTATCACTTATCCGTACCTTTTCGAAGCAACGGAGAAGAGTATTCTTACCATTCCTCAAATATTCAGTGTCTTCTTTGAATATTAGAAATTCTACTTTCTATGCCTTAACATAGAGTACTGACCTTATTAATGGAGATATATGCCATGTACTGGTAATGACAATCAAGATGACCCATATTATACTTGAATTTACTTTTTAAGTTTTAAAGCTCATTACAAATATGAACTAGCATCATCTTTCCATCTCTGCTCTACAAGCATATTTTCACTTCAGAAATTGCTCAGTATGTATTCTCTTCAACCAGACAAAAGGAGAAGAAAGGAATTCAAACTCTTGCGATTACTATCTACATAATCAATACCCTTTACTGTTGTTGAATCAATTCCAACTCATAATGACCCTATAGGACAGAGTAGAACTGCCGCATAGGGTTTCCAAGGCTGTAATCTTTACAGAAGCAGACTGCCACATCTTTCTCCTGTGAAGCCACTGGGGAGTTCTAACCACCAGCCTTTTGGTTAACCCAGCACTTTAACCACGGTGTCACCAGGGCTCCTATGTACATAATAGAAGAGTAAAACCTTACTCAAACCAAAACCAAATTCACTACCACCAAGTTGATTCTGACTCAGAGAGACCCTATAGGACAGAATAGAACTGCCCCATACTGTTTCCAGGGGTTTCTGTAATCATTATGAAAGCTGACTGCCACATCTTTCTCCTGAGGAGCAGCTGGCGGGTTTGAACTGAGAACCTTTCAGTTAGCAACCAAGCGCTTTAACTACCGCACCACCAGGGCTCCTTCTTAAACCTTACTAGGGAGGATGGAAAAAGAATGCTTGCTATATTTCCTGAAGACTTAAGCATTCGATGGTTTATTTTTAGTATTTTGGGTGACCCTGCAACCTTTTACGCAGCACAGTCCCTGTGTCAAGTCTAGGAAAGCTGTGTTCTGGGAACTTGCTCCATTCTGCCTTCTAAAATAGCTGTGACTAGCTTCCAGTTCTTCATAATTGACTTTTTGTTAGAAGTTTGCTTTTTGGAAATGTATCCATTGTTGTTCAAATAGTAGGATTTGTTCAAAATAAGATTGAAATCAGATTGAATGACTTTAGTGACTGTGAATGTTTGGCATTTTTGATAGAGGAAAACTGTATCATTTTGTATGTATTTCTGTTACTTCTGTCAGGCTTTGGAAAGTGGTTTAAACAAAACAAAAAAACCACAAAACATTTACTTACCATAGATAATACATTCCTTTAAAATGGGTATAATTTTCTAGTTTAATGTTACATTGAATTAGTCATTGTTTTGGCCCTAGTTTCAACTCTAAAATGTATAAAACTGTTTTCAAACTTTAAAATTAGCAGCAAAGCTCTGGGATTTTCAAAGGTCCCCAGAAAAAGGTTGGTCAAGTAGCATACATTTTTAAAAAATGAGGAATGCAAAGGGAACAGAAAGGACTAGAAGTAGAAAAATAAATTATCTCCAAGGTTGTCTTCCACATCAGTTTGCTGCTCTGTCAGTAATCCTTTTAGAATTAGACAGACATGTAAAGAAAAATGTAATAAATGAATACGGATGACAGTCCTTTCTTCTAGTTCATTAACTTTGCTTAAAATTGACTTTTAACTACATGTCAAAGCTGACACATTCACTTTAAAGTTTTAAAAAATGTACTAATCAATTCTACAGATATTTATAGCAACGGCCTTTAACAATAGATAAGTTCTCCATACTCAAGACTTGTCTTAAATTGTTTGATTATAGTAATGTAGTTTTTTCGTGGGGGTGGTCATTAACATTTAGAAGATATTTTTCTTGGGAAGTTATATGTTGGTACGTATTTTTGTAATTTTTAAAAATTAGTGCATACTTTCTTCTATTTTTAGCTTATTTTAACACCTTGGCATTTATGTCTGCCTCAAAAATTAAAATCCTTCAACACGCTCAAGGTTGAAACTGAGGGCTCTAGAAGAACATCTTTATAAATCTGTCTGCAAGTCACAATTGTGCTCTATTCTTGGAGCAGTACCCAAAGGCAGTAGAGCTACTGCATTGAGTCATTTGGGAACATTTATTAAAAATAGATTCCTGGGCCCAGCCCAGTACCCCCTCAGAGCATTTCTAGGGGTGGAAATCTGCCTTTTAAACTAGCTCCCCAGGTAGTGCTGTGCATACTAAATTTTGACAACTTCTGCTTTTTGGTGCCAGAGGTTCTGTCTTGCAGCCTTATTCTCTAAAATGCAGTGGATTGTTTGAGTCCTTAAAAATATAGTTGTTGGAGTTTCAGTTTACCTAGAATGAATGCACCTCTGTTCACTTTGCAGCCTGTAAACCCAGATACTTCCCTGTCAGTTGGGCAGTTTATAACTCTCTTCTGTGGTTTCCTGATATTTGTGGGCACATTGATTCTGAAACTTTATTAACAATTAAGTGAGTAGAGGTTAGTTTTTTTCCCTTAAGAAAGGTGAGAGCAAAACACACGCATGTGTTTTAGAAAATGGTTGCACATTTACTATAGTACTTTGTTCTTCAGTGTTGCAATCTCATTAAATTACCACCTATTTGTTAGGAACAAAACAGTTCTCTTGTTTCAATCAGAAGTATTAGAAAAGGCGTTCTTCATGTCTGTGGATAGAATTCAGGGATCTGTGTACTTGGATAAGACATAATTAGATCTTTATTTTTACTGACCCCTTATTGAAATTTAGCATTTCCTGCAATTATGAATATAGACAATAAGCTACAGTAGAGTAAGCTGTATTTGTGGCTTTGTCACCAGTAGAAATCACAGATATTTTCATGTCATGTTATCTGTTGTTACAGATACCTTAAAATACTGCTTATGCTCTTCATTACTTCAAAGTTATGGAAGTCATTAGACCCGATGCTAAATCTTGTTATAAATCTTGTGCTGTTTTAGCATATATATTTTTTACTACTGATAATTATATTTTTCAATATAATTGATTTCTGTTGAAATCTTAATGTATTTTATTTTATGCATTTATAACTATTATTCTGAGAAGTGGTCCATAGGCTTCACTGTACTGCTAAAAGGATCAGCTACCAAAAAAGGGTTAAGAGCACATTTACTGGATTCTTGTCTAGGATCTTTTGATTCTAAGCCATTTCCTTTTTTTGAGATATTCCTCTTAAATGAATTTTTTTTCTAATCATATAGTCATTTCATCATTTATATATATATATATATATATTTTTTTTTTACTGTAGCTGACTCAACTGGAACTCATTCTCTGTACACAACATACAAAGACTATGAAATTATGTTCCATGTTTCTACCATGCTGCCCTACACACCTAACAACAAGCAACAGGTAAGAGATGCTTGTGTTCTCTGTGTTTTCACCCTTGTTTCATTTTCCCCAGAAGCCTAAGTGGCAAGTTTGTAAAATCTTAAACTAGAATTTTATATTGCACCTGTCACAGCAGCAGGAAGCTTTGTACTTTGTGGAAGTAAGGAATAGCAAATGAGCTGAAAACAAATGAAGAGACAAATTCTAGGTTAACAGCCAGCTGGATGGCTTTGTGAATTAATCATTTGCTTTTCACCCATGGGGACTGAGGTTTTCATGAAATTTGAAGAGAACAAGTTGAAATGATGGTGATTAGATGACTCTGCAGGGTTGCAAAGAACATACATGAGTGGGTGAAGTTTAATCTCAAGAGGCCAGTGTACAAAAGCAGGAAGATAATGCTGTTTCGTTTCAGATTTCACAGGAGGTTTGGTATGCTAACTTGGAGAGAAAGAAATGTCTTTGGGATCTCAGAATAATGTTCTTTCCTAGTGTTCATCAGGATATAGCAAGCAACATAGTAACAATTGCATGTGTGTACATTATATACAGAGTTTCTTTTAGAAAAATCTAAAAGCACATTGCCTATTACTAAAATGTAGTAAGTGATTGAATCCCTGGATGATGCATACAGTTAAGCACAGGGCTACTAACTGAAAATGTTGGCAGTTTGAACCCCCCAAGAGGAGCCTTGGAAGAAAGGCCTGGTGATCTGCTTTCCAAAGGTTACAGCCATGAAGACCCTATGGAGTGCAGTTCTATGCTGAAACACATGGCGTCACCATGAGTTAGAATTGACTCATGGCAACTGTTTTGGTGTTTTTGGTTTAATAAGTAATTAGACAGTAAAATGCAGAAACTAAGAAGTGACAGATTGTTACAGAGCAAAATGGAAACTGGCAGTTTTATTTTAGAGAGTATGTGGTAGTTACTGTTTTTTTCGAAATATCTCAGAATAATTGATACAAAAACTGAAATTTATAAGAATCAGAGAGCTAACAAAGTCTCCTTTCAATAGCTGTTATAAACATGAGCCAATCCAGTTTTATTTCTGACCTTAAAATGGATATAGATTTTGTTATTGTCAATTGTACTAATAGAACACAGGCGAGCTGCAGAGTGAATGACATCCTCTTTCACAGAATTTAACCAAACACTGATCTAATCTAACACTTCATCACTTTGGGTTTGATTAGATCACAGGTCTAGGTAACAAAATTTTGCCTTTCATTACTTTTACCAGAGTAATCAGAAATAGGAAGCAAAGCAATGAATCAGCTATAAATCTAAAATAAACTTGTTTTAAGATAAACTTCCTGATCTGGACTTTGTTGAAGATTTTTTTAATGCAAATTCCAAGTTCTCGATTTCTCTGGGAGAAAAATATCATGCTAAGAAAAATACACTAGACTTCTTATTCTGACCAGTCAGTAGACAGAAAAATTTAAGAATATTAATGTATCATCTTTAAAGGGGAAATAAAGGCTTATTCTACTTGATCACTCAGAAAAGAGAGGAGATTTGTGAAAGAAAAAGTTTAGTAATGAGATTTAGATTAATTGCCTGATTTCTAACTAAATAGGTTTACGTGTTGGGCAGAGTGAGTTGGCATTTAAATGGAAAGACATCTAAATTATTTCATTTTAGGGTCCCTTGTTAAGATATTACTGTTTCACATTAAGCCATATTTTGAAGAAAGGATGATATTGCAGGGGAAAGACAGTGACATCATTTCTGCAGGAATGGCTTAGTAAATAGACATGCTGAATATTTGTCTCAGATCCTGATTACATTAATAATCTTTGATTATCATTGTATTCTATATATGTATTCAATACAGAACATCCTTTATTTCATTAACATTTGCTTATATGTCATGTTTAGAAATAAACTTCCACTTTAGAAAATAGTTTGGGATGCTTTAAAAATTCCTGAATTTAAAGGACATGTCCCTAGCACTCTAACTCCCAGTTCTCAACCCTAATCTAAAAGGCTATTGTTTCTCCCAGCTGGCAGCTAATACTAGATCATTGATTTTACTGGTAAGTAATTTGTATACCTTAATGTCACCAAACCAAAGAAAACCAAACCTAATAAGTCGACTCTGACTCACAGCAACCCTATAGGACAGAGTAGAACTGCCCCATAGGGTTTCCAAGGAGCGACTGGTGGATTCGAACTACTGACCTTTTGGTTAGCAGCCTGAATTCTTAACCACTATGCCACCAGGGTGTGACCAGATAACTAAAAGGATAAACATGCAAGCTTAGTTCTAGTGGATAGTTTATATAAATATGCCGCACTGAGTTGTTTTCTTGCTTTTAAAAGTGTCTGTATAATAAATATGAGAAATACAAATTTTGTTCAGTTTTTCTCTATGCTTTTGAATTAAACTGTCTAATAAATGCCTCCTGAAAGGCACTAGCCTAGGAGGATTTGGGGTACCTGAATTTCAAGGCCCTCAGTAATGTGTTCATGTGAAACAGCAGGTGGTCGTAAGCAGTTTTCACTGTAATTAAAGAAACTACTTAAATTTGAAATTTAACCTGCTTTTAAATTGTTAAAACATTCCAGAATGTTATTAATTTCTATATTACCAGCTTGTGCCACAAAAAATATATCAGAAAATGCCTTAGCCACGTTTTCTTTAAAAGAAGCCAATTAATCCAGAACATAAATTACATTGTAATTACCTCAACAATTCTCGTCTCTAAAAATCTTCCCTATGAAAATGAAACAAAACTGTTGTTATGGAAACTGAGGATTTGGAGATGCTGGGACTTGGCGTAATATGCCAGATATTGGTCAGACCCATTTGAATGGGCTATAGTTTGATGCAAATCGCAGAATATTCATTTTCATGTTCTTCCTTGAAGGAAATGAAAAGAGAGGCTAAAATATTGAAAATAACCTTATAGATTACCTACCCTGATGTGCATTAATTAGTAATGAATATTTTAAATACAGTTACATAAGGGTGAGGGGGAGCAGAGAGTTATCATTGATGTTGGTTGTTTGTTTTTTCTTTTAGCTCCTACGCAAGCGGCACATTGGAAATGATATTGTAACAATAGTTTTCCAAGAACCTGGAGCACAGCCATTCAGCCCGAAAAACATTCGTTCCCACTTTCAGCACGTTTTCGTCATTGTCAGGGTTCACAACCCTTGCACGGACAGTGTCTGTTACAGGTATTGGTGCTACCACAGAGGGCCCCGTCCAGCTCTGCTTCCCCAGCTGGAAGTGGGACGTCTGTTACTATTTATTTTTGTCTTTGTGCTATACATGCGGATGGCCAGATCCACACAGTGACGTAACCTGATGGCACTCACATTCCTCAGACGTGTTGGTTAGACACGCGCTGTTTCCATTTGCACCCCCTCCTTAGGTGGTGTCCTTCATCTATACCATCTGATTACCCACTAACTAATTACTCATATTGCTAGTTATATTTTGCTTTTGGTATGGCAAGAGCGGAGAAGAGTGATCATAATAAATAGTAAAGAGAGATTCATTTTAAAAAATTATTATTAAAAAGGCACAAAGCTACTGCAGTCTTAGAGGCGTTTTATTAAGCGTTGATGGTAAAGTTGTTTCAGTGTCTCTTGTTGACCTTGTCTCACGATTATCAGAATTCAGGTATCTATCTGCAGAGGCCTTTACCAGGTTTTGAAGAGGACAAGGACGTATGATACTGGGTTGATACGGACATAGTGCCAAGACAATATGTGAGGATATTCTAGCGTTTTTAAGATACTTGTAATATGAATCTGTCTTTTCAGAATATGAAATTTTTAGCATATCTTTCCATCCCTAAAATTTTGAAGATTAAACTTTGTTAACTTTGAGTATTTGTTATTGAAGTAACATAACCACCTACACAGAAAGTGACCCGCACAAACTTATATTGGTTTGTGAGGTCCGCAGCTGTCTAATTCTAGGGGTAACACAGGTTAATAATAAGTAAGCGTAGTTCAGGGAACAAAACGAATGGTTCTGTTGGACCCCTTTGACCTCTCCTGTTAACTGCCACTGTCCTTGTACACATCACAGGAGTTGACGTTTGTTGAACCCCTTTTATGAGTGCACCACTCTTCTGCGTACCTTACATATGTTGCCTCAGTTAATCTTTAAAACCTATGTGGTAAGTACTGTCTTTATCCCCATTTTCAGATGAGGAAATTTAAGCACAAAGGGGCCAGGTGACTTGCCCGAGGTCAGCTGGCTCAGACAAGGCACAGTTTAGATTCAAACTCAGTAAGTCTGATTCTAGAGCCCAGTCTCTTAACTGCCCTGCTGTGCTCCCTCTCTCACATGCTGTGTAAAAGGGATGATCTTTGCAGCCCTTGCTTCTGACACATGGGCTGTTCCAGAATTTCTTGGGTGCTAAGCCTGTGTGAAAACCCAAGGCCCAGGGAGATCTGTAGTTCCTAGTCTCGTGGGGTGGAGACTCCAACAGTGGAGACCTAGATCTGAAGCCTCTTCTCAAGGACTCAGTCTTTGAAAGTTACTCTGGTTAAGTGTAGAATCAGCGCAGAACCTATGACTGTAATTGGAATGGGTAACCGTTGGCATTTAGAAAATACCCTGAACAACTGAAACATGCTGTGTACTAGAGTCATGCAAAGGATTTCATGCTGGTTTGCATATAGAAAGCTAAACCCTTCTTGAAAGGGCACTAGGAAATATGGGGAGTGGAATGCTGCGCAGTTTCTTTTAAAGAGAGAATCTTCTTTTCCGGCTTGTGTGTAAGTCAGTATTTTTCACTAGAAATATAATGCAAGCCACATATGTAATATAAATGGATGGTTCCCAGTAGTACTAATTTACTGTAAATAATAATAAATAATAAAATATTCTAATAGCCAGATTTTTTTAAGTAAAAAGAAATAGATGAAATTAATTTTAAGACTATATGTAAGTTAACCCAATAATACATTTTATTTACCCAGTATATCCAAATATTATCATTTCAACATGTAATCAGTATTTAAAAATTATTAATGAAATATTTGATATTTTTGTGTACTAAGTCTTTGAAATCTGGAGTGCATTTTAGACTTAACAAACAGCACATCTCAATTAGGATGGAAAATTTTTATTGGGAATACTTGACCTCTATTTAGATTTTTTAGAAATTTACAGTTGAAAACATAAATTCATACACCAAAATTGTTCCAAACATAATTTTTTTAAGTTTTACAATAACTGAATCAGGTGTCAGTTTTTAAAATTTAAATTCACTAAAATTAAATTTATTCCCTAGTTATACTAGCTACATTTCAAGTGCTCAATAGCCACATGTGGCCATTGACCACTGAATTCAACAGCATAAATCTAAACAGACTGATAAAGAGAAAAGGTGTCTTAGCCTTCTTCAACACTTTGTTAAATGAGGAGGTGAGATCTGTTTTATTCTTATAAACCTCTCTCCCCTCAAAAATGATGATTTTTGTGTTTCTTTTTTTTAATCTATTGCCTTGATAGCCCATCTTTTTAACTCTCCCGCTGTGACCCTAACCAAACTAGTTGCCACTGAGTCAGCTCTGACTCATGGTGACACCATATGTGAAAACCCTGCTCCCTAGGGTTTTCAATGGCTGTGATCTTTTGTAAGTAGATTGCCAGGCCTTTCTTCCAAGGTGCCTCTGGGTGGACTCAAACTGCCAACCTTTTGGTTAGTAGCTGAGCACTAAGCATAACTAGGCAGTGGGGGCTATTGGAATGCTAGGCCATTAAGGTGATACTGTATAGAGTTACAGGAAAATGTACTCACTGTCAACAGTGTATACAGGGATATCTTTAAGCCAGAAGGACAAATTTAGAGATTATTGTTATCTATTTATTTTTTACCAATTCTTTACCCAGCACTTACCATATATATATATATATATATATATATATATGTATGTATGTATGTATGTATATATATATAAGGTACCATTCTAGGCCCTGGGGATACAACAGTGGAACAAAACAGAGAAGAATCCCTACTCTCCTAGGTTTTACTTTCCAGTTGATCTGGAGATAAGACCTGAAATCATGTGGTGTTATACCTCCCTGGGGAGTGGAAAATCTATACAGGGAAAACCTAACTGATTCAGACTAATTACAGACACAGAGATGAGTTAACCTTGAATACTCATGGCATAAGCAAGAACATGGAAATCAATCACTAATGTACTAAAACTTAGGCGCATAACTGATAATAGAGCCCTCCAGTCTCTATTATTTTATTTATATAATTGCAATGAGCTTAATTGTCTGATCTCAGTTGATAGAGCACATTAGAAGCAACAAATCAAAATGATAAAGGAATTGTTAGTGGCAAGCATATACTGAAAATATCAATAAGTGATTACTGACAGAGGAGATGCAGAAAAACTATTAACATAAAAGATACAAATTCAATATGCCTAGCAGTCTGGAGTCATTTGGTTTGGGCACAAACAACTGAATAAACTTCAGTTACTCCTGAGGACCTCACTCTGTAAAACCTCGGTGTAAAATAACACCACATTTCAACAACAAATGAGTGAATGGATCTAGTACTGATTATCAAAAGCTGCAGATATCACAAAAAAAGACAAATAATGAAAGATCACAACCTCATCTGTGAATTACTCTTGCTCCCCAGCCCCCACCCCCCCAAAAAAAAACTCAGTCTAAATCTGATCAAACCTCTAGACAAGCCAATTTACAGGAAATTCAGAAGACAAGAACATGTTTCTAGTCAGCAAAATTAGGACTCAGGACAGCTCTAGAATACAAATGACCCAATTTCTTCAACAAATACATTGTAAGAAATAAAAGAGAGAGTGAGAGAGATGGGAAGGGAATTTATTGATTTTTTTTTTTTTTAATTTAAGATAAATTAATCAGTTGCAGTGGGTGGACCTTATTTGGCTCCTATTTCAGACAAAAAGAGAGCAGTAGGACATTATAAAAAACCACTTGCAGTAGAGTCAGTTCCAACTCATGACAACGTGTGTCAGAGTAGAACTGAGCTCTGTAGTTTTCAGTGGCTGGTTTTTCGGAAGTAGATAACCAGGCTTTTCTGGGTGGACCGCTAACCTTTAGAAGTTGGAACACTGACTTAATGTCGATGATATTAAACCATTACTGTTAATTTTCAAAGTAGTGTAGTGTAATGAGTGGTTATAATGTTGACTCCTGAGTCTTCCAAATGAATGTTAAATTGTGATCAGTAGCTTTGTTTAGGTAGGTAGAAATATATGATACTTCTCTCAGAAAGATTTTCACAATTCAGTGGTTAAAATGTAATAAATGTTGAAAGGGGTTAGTACTGTGTAGCACAAAAAGTGCTTGGAATCAGAGCAGATTGTTAAGGCTCTCAGATCTAAAAATCCCTGTCTGTGCAGTGGAAGGTTGTTTGACATCTACTTAAAATCCCATAAGTAAATTATCCAGCGTAGGCAGGGAGTGTACTGTGTGTATATTAAATGTTTGGGCCCTTCTTCTTTCACTCTCTAGAATAAAATTTTTTAAAAGTGTAAGACTAGCTTGGAAGAGAAAAAAAGTCAAAGAGGGTCAAGTGAAAGAAATTTCTTTTGGAAGGTCTATTCCAAACCATAGTTAATCAGCATCCCTGTTGTCTAATGCAGCTGACCTCTCTAAGACAAAATCTGAATAGGTCACTCTCCTGCTTAAAACACTCTAGAGTAAAGTCCAGACTCCCTAGAAAATTCTACTTCATGGGGTCCTTCAGGTCTGGTTTCTCCTCTCTCCTACCTCTGCTGGCCCCTCTGCCAATCCTGCACCCCCACCCCACCTCACTTTTCAGCCACGGTAGAGCTACTTAGAGCTCTCAGAACTTACTGTGCTCTGCCCCTCCTCTTCGCACATGCTCTGGGCTAGAATGCCTCTCCTTACACCTATCCCTTGCTCCTCCTTCCTCTGATAAATTGCTGCTCTTATCTCTGGGAAAGCTCTCCTGGCCTCCCAAGACTAGATGAAGTGTCTTTCTTAAATGTTGCCATTAGTTCCCTATACCTCCCGTTAGAACATTCAAACCAATGTATGTAGCTCCCACCAGAGTTTAAGCTTCTGGAGAGCTGATCCTGTGACACACTCATCCTCGATCCTCAACGCTAGCCCTGTGCCTCTCATACAGTAGGTGCTCAGTCAGTGATTGGAAGCTCCCCAGGAAGACAACGATTGCCATGTGTTT